GTAGGAGGATAGCAAGTTCAAAGCCAGCCTCAGCAACTTAGTGCGGCCCTAAGTAACTTAGAGACTCTGTCTCAAAATTAAAAAAAAAAAAAAAAGGGGGAGGGGGATGATGAGAATATGGCTCAGTGGTCAAGTGTCCCTTGGTTCAATACCTAGTAACAAAAAGAGAGGAACAAGTACAAGAGGATTAATAATACTGGTTAATCAAAGAACTGCTCTAGGAGTTGAGAGAATTGTGTACTAGCTTTGGCTCTCCCATTGACTTATTGTTCACTCAATAATGAATTACTGAGTACTTACTATGTGTTGGCCTTGGTTTAATGTTGGTGAAAAAAAAAAAGGCCTGGTGCCTGCACTTTTTTTTTTTTTTTTGCAGGGCCTCAAACTGAAGGCAGGGGCTTGCATATACTAGAACCACTGAACTACACTCCAAACCCAAGTGCTTGCCCTCTTGAAGCTTAAGATCTCAGAAGAAAAAGAAAAAAAATTCTTATTTGGTATCAGGGATTGAATCCAGGGACTGAACAAATGAGCCACATCTCCAGACCTTTTTATTTTGAGACAGGGTCTTACTAAGTCGCTTAGGGCCTCGATAAATTGGTAAGGCTGGTTTTGAACTCAGAATCCTCTCGTCTCAGCCTCTCAAATTACTGGAATTACATGGGTGTGGCACCATGGGCCAGCTGAGAGGAATGTTTTGGACAAAGAGACTAACATAAAAGAAAAATTGTGGCAGATGCTATGAAGAAAGGATCAGGGTAATAATGGAAAACTGAGACCTATTTTATTTCGGTTTTAAAATATTTTTTTGTAGTTTTAGATGGAAAGAATGCATCTATTTTATTTGTTTATTTTTATGTGGTGCTGAGGATCGAATCTAGTTGCTTCAAGCGTGCTAGGCAAGCGCTCTGCCACTGAGCTATAGCCCAGCTCAAAGAGACCTATTTTAAAATCCACAGTAAGCATTCTTCTTTCATGGAAGTAACATTTAAGCTAAGATCTAAAGAATGAATGATCTAGTCAAGTGAAGACCATTCCAGGTCACAGTAACAGTATGTGCAAAGGTGTGCGATCAACTAGTAGAACTAGATTTCAGAGACTGGGAGAGGCGCCAAACAAAAGGAAGTTGGGAAGGGCAGCAGGTACATTTAAGTGAAAGATTAAAGAAGCAGATAGGGTTGGCAGTGGGGTATCAAGAGTTATGATTTAGATATGCTGGGTTTGAGATATCTATTAGAAATCAAAGTGGATGCTGGGTGTGTGGTGCATGCCTGTAATCCCAGTGGCTGGGGAGGCTGAGGCAGGATGGCAAATTCAAAGCCAGCTTCAGAAATTTAGTAAGACCCTAAGCAATTCAGTGAGATACTGTTTCAAAACAAAAAATAAAAAGAGGTGGGAGTGTGGCTCAGTGGTAAGTGCCCCTGGGTTCAATCCCTGGTACCCCAAAACAAATAATGTTGAAATGTGAAGTAGGCAGTTGAGATACATAGTATGGGATGCTGGAAAGAGGCAAAATTTTATCTGTGGATACTTAAAGCCATGGAAAGGAAGGCATTACCCAAGAAGAAAGCATAAACAAAGGTAATAAATCACTAGGTTATTCACTTTCTGTATGTTATCCCCTAAGTTGTTTCTTTTCCTTAGGCTTATCTGTAACACAAATGGTGGAACAAGATACTTAATGGGGCTCTTGAATAAGCCTGAAGTTCTGCAAAGACAACCTTTCATTGTTCTACTGCTAATTGTAACCATTCTCAAATCCATCCTAAAACAAAGCAAACAAAAAACATATGATTAAGATGAATGGGGAAACATTTTACAGCAGTCAGCAAAAACTTAAGTTCTTGGTAAAGTTACATACTGTACCACAGCAGTGGGCAGGTAAGCCAAATTCCAAGACTGTTACTGCTCAATTCACTAAGGTTAACTATAAAGGTAAATAGAGAAAGAAACGTGAATTTAAGTAATCTCTAAAAGGCACAGAAAATCTCGTTCCTGTTCTTATAACGCAACTGAAGAATGCTGGTATTGTGCCCTAAGGACCTACCTTGGGGGCATTGTGTCCCACAGGGACATGGGGTCCCCTTCTAGATTTCATTGCAAAGCGCATGATTTGCCTCTTCACAAAAATAAACAGTAGTACAAATACCTGTCCAAAAAGATAGGATAAGAATCTTTAATAAAGACAACAACAACAAAAGGCATGCCTTCATTCAAAGTCTCCAATTGCGGCTCTCAGAAATGGAGGCTTCAAGATAAAACTTGGGGGAAAGCGAGGACGTCGACGACGGAGGTGGATCTAGGGAAGCCAATAGTGGGGAGGCTTGGGGTCTGTGCCCTAGAGCTTAGGGGGAGGGTTCTCAGCCAGGGGCGGGTCGGTCTGGGTCTGTGACTTAAGCTCCCAGGTACTCCTGGGATCGAAGTCAAAAGCCCAGAAAAGGCGCAGGTGAGTGGGTGGAGAATGAAGACAGGGATCGGCTCAAGAGGAGGGTCTCCACTGGGTGAGACGCTACAGCAGGAATGGGGTGGGGGAAGATCCTCACCAGGCTCCCGTAGGCCATCACCAGCACGACATTCACCCCGGACAGCCAGTTACTGCTGGACGCCATGGCCTCCCTCCCCGCGCAGAAGTGCTCGGGTTTTCCCGTTGCCCTGCCTCGTTAGCCCAGGCTCCGCCGAAGCAACGGCGCCTGGGTTCCCTGGAGCTCCCCGGCCATTTCCTTACGGGGGAAGACCGAGCCAGACCCGGCCTGAAAACATGGCGGATGGGGGGGCTAGGAAAGGAGGACGACGCCTTCCCGCTTCCCCCCCGACACGTGACTCAGGCAGGCAGTGGCACCTGGGAGCTGCGAGTGCGGAGACGCGGAACTACGCCAGTCAGAGGAAGCGGAGGCCATCCGTGCGTCACGTGGTAGAGGCGGGGCCGCCGCGCAGGGGGCGGGTCGGACGCACGGAGCCCGAGTTCGGTGTTTCGTGGCGTGGTGGCACGCGCACGCTGGCGTGCGCGTCCCTTTTCACGTCACGTGCTGGGGGGACGCAGGAAGGCAAGTGGGAGGGGGAAGGCGCGAGAGCGAGCGCGAGAGGGAAAAGGAGGGAGGGGGGGGGGGGAGGAGGGAATCTTATATCACGTGACAGGGGCGGCGCGGCCCGGGGTGTCAGTGTGGAGGAGACTGAGGTAAAGTTGGGAGCGCAGCGGCGTTGGCGGCGGCGGCGGCGGCAGCGGCAGCGCGGCGGGGCCGGGTATTGTCCGCGGCCCCTTTAAATCCGCGATCCCCCTTTTACCCTCCCTCTTTCTCTCCTACCCCCGCCGTATCCCCCCTCCGGTAGGCCCCCCCGCGCCGTGCGCTCCCCCTCTGTACACCCCCTTCTGGTCTCGGGAGCCCTGGCGCCCCCCCACACCTCGAGTCGGGCGCCGGAGGTTTTGTTTATGGTTGGGTTCGCGGCCTAGTGGGCCGCGCCGGAGCCGGGGCCTCGATTTGGGAGCGTGGCCGGGGCGGGGCTTGGGGCAGCCGGACGGGGGGGCCATGCGGCTAGAGCCTGAAGGGGGAGAACGAGAAAGAGCGCGAGCGAACTAGGCCTGGGCCCAGCCTGAGGTAGGGCTGTCTCCAGGGCSGGTGCCTGTGGAGAAGGAGAGGGCCGCCTCCCTTTCCAGCCCTCTGCGGGCCTCTGATCCGGATCCGGCCTGGTTGGGGGTGGCGGGGGGAGGGCGATGGGGTGGAGCTGCCCCAACTCCCCCATGTGGCCCTCAGTTTGGAGTGCGGAGGATTAATTTGTTCCGGGTGGGAGGTAGGGAGGCGATTGGCCCCGTGGGCTCCTGATGTGGCGCTGAGGGGGGTGAGCCTCCCATCCTCCGCGCGTGGGCTTGCGTCCCCTCTCCGTTTCCAGCCTCTTTGTCAGCTCCACTTATTACTCTTCCTTCTTTCTTACCCACCCGGCTGTGGGAATATATTTTTGCAGCTGTCTTTAGCTTCCTGTTGTCTATACTGTGGTTTGGGGTACCCCAAACAATTATGTTATTTGGGAAGCTGGACCTGTAGGCCCCCATAGGGTGTATTACGCCTAAGGGACGTCGCTGGGTCGCTGGGGTATTTGTTCACTCTTCATAATGGCACAGGAATTCCAGACTTCTTCAGACCCTTCACCTTGTGGACAGCCCCTAAATTGCTTTGCAAACTGATGTCACAAACAGGAGACTGCTCCTTTTTCAGGATTCTTGAAATGTAGCCACCTCTGTTGTAGGATGTTGTGGAAAGGAAAACACCACAGTAACGGCGTTTTTGTTGTTATTAACGTTTTTGCCTTTGACTCATCGAGATTAGTAAATGGAGAGATTCCCCCCCCCAATCCATCTTCCGCCCCCCCCCCCAATATCCTGCTTTAGGAATATCTGATGTGAATTGCTGGGAGGTGATAGTGTTCTGTGACAACCAGCATTACTAGATAATTAAAACATTTTGGCTCTATTATCAGTTGACAAAACTGCTTTGAGATCCTACACCATTGCCTTTAAAGATTAGAAGATCCCCATGATTGTTTCTGTTGTGCATGGGAAGTATTGCTGGCATGTAAATTATTGATAAAAGGCCTAAAAATGTACTGTTTTGTTTTTTTATTTTTTAAACCCCTTCCTGTGAAGTGTGTCTTTAACTGGGCATTACTCACTAGATTCAAGGTGGTGGGAAAGGGGACTCAGAAGTCATTTCAAAAAGGCAACTAGGGAAATTAGTTGTGCTGGTAAAGGTAGCAAGCCTTCCCCATCACAGTCCATCTTCAGGATTTCTGAATTGGTTCTCAAATTAGATTGTAAGCTCCCTGAGGGCAGCAAAAAGTCATAATGTTTTGTATTTTCTGAAGTATTGGACACATAGTAGACACTCAATAAATACTTGTTATTTATTTTTTTCAGTAAAATTTCTCTGGCTATTTTTTTAAGTAGCTGGTTTCCAAAATAGAGAGTCAAGGGCACTCCTGTGTTGACTTGTATTTGCTCCTGCACTATTCCCTTGGTTTCCAGTACTTCTCTCCCTGGTTCCCTTAATTTTTATTTTCTAAGAAAGAGTAACAAGATTCCACACTTCCACTGTGATAACTCTGGTTATTTGTCCCTAATTTTTATTTTCCAGGAAAGTAACAAGATTCCTTACCCCCACTACTATAACTCTGGGTATTTGTCTCCACTTACTACTAAAAATTCTATTAATTCTTTGTCCTTAAGTGATCCATCCCAGATCATTTACTTGTGACCTGTTGCTTGGTGTTATTACTATGTAGATGGTAAAATTCTGTTAGTCACACATTTCAAAGCACTTGTAAGAGTGAAGTGGAAGTTAGTAGTAAGAGTGATCAGGAGGATTTTTCTCTTTCCTGATTAATTATATGACTTTCTAATACATTTACACCTGACTGGAAAGGTATGTGTGGTGGTCTATACAGCTAGTCCATTAGCTTATATTTGCAAATAAACTCATTCTCCCAAATTGATATATGTGAAGTTGAAAGTAGTCAGTATTTGTAAGTTACAGTGGTGGGTTGGAAATGACTACTCTGATTTAGAAATTTCATCTTAGAGCCAATTTAAAGTTAAACATAATTGTTTTCCTCTCTAGTTTTTTTTTTTTTTCTTCTTCCCCTCTTCTTGATAAGGACCCAGGGTTCTTGGTTAAACAACACTTTTCTTTTTTTGTGAATTAAGTGTTGAAATTTGACTATAATGTCAGCCTGGGGAAATGGACTACTGTGTTGCATATAATAAAATAAAATTCTATACTAGCTTGAAATATTTACAGGCTTATGTGCACATGTATGCAGGGACGGGGTTAATGATTAAAAATTAGCTATGAAGCTTCCTTTAAAATATATTTCTTGGTGATAGGGAATGTAGACTGCATCAAAAACCAAAGACCTATGTAACCTATTGATACAAAACTTGGTGAAGCTTGGTGCAGTGACGCACGTCTGTAATCCCGGCTGCTCAGGAAGCTGAGGCAGGAGGATCAGAAGTTCAAAGCCATCCTCAGGAATTTAGCATGGCCCTAAGCAAGTCAATGAGACTGTCTCTAAAATACATAAAGGGCTGGGGATGTGACTCTGTGGTTGAGTACCCCTGAGTTCAATTCCTGGTACCAAAAAAACCAAAACAAAACAAAACATAAACTTGGTGAAGAATTTCTCCAGGGAAGTCAGCTCTGACATTCAATAAACAGGTGCAATTTACTTTCTTAATAGTTAATCCTTACACATTTATTTAGAAGCCCTCCTTCAAAATCCAGCAATGTCTTTTGGACAATATAGAATTAACCGTGTATGAAGTTTTATTAATGAAAARTTAAATATAGAGCAGAAAAGCATAACTTGTCCTCTTTGGAATAAAATAAAACATTTTAAAGTATCTTTCGTTGAGCACTCTATCATATGATGACTTTCTTTTTTTTTTTAAACAAAATGCAGCAGCTGAAATTCCGTTATAGAACAAAATGTGAATGAAGGGAACTTGAATTCCGTTGAATCCTTGGTTAGAAATCTTATAATGAAAACTGTCAGGGAAGGCCCTTTGTATTCTGTGTCTCTTAAAAGACAAGTTTTCCTACAGGCATTAATGTTTTGACTTTAAAATTATTTCCTAGAAGCCCTTTTAAATAAAATTTTGTGATATATGTGATTGGTTTGGGACAAATTTGGAATTCCCTGTGTTTTAAGGTGAGTAGTTGAGGGTAATTGTAATTCTGGTTTCTTGAAAATGTGGACGAAACCCATAGAAGCAGCTGTAAAAGCATGTGTTGGAATTATTATGCAGGGAACTGAAAATCTGAACTGGAACTGGATCCTAATACATGCCCTGTTGAAGGGTGCAGTTAAAAAAATAAAACCTATAGCATGCTGAGAGATGAAACTTGAGGGACAAAGAGGCTAGACTTGAACTTAACTTTTCCCCCAAGCAGTGGAGGTCAATGTGTAAGGCAGGTAAGATGGTTGTCTTAGGTAGGTTGAGTACAGTATTTATATACAGTATTTTCTGTATGTGTTTATTGAATGGCTTATTTTATTTTTTGAGGTGGTGTGGATCGAACGTAGGGCCTTGGACATGTTAGGCAGGCCTTCTCCCATTGAGCCACACTCCCAATCCCTACTTTTTTTTTTTTTTTTGGTGGTACTTGGGATGGAATCCCCTAAGTGTGTTCTGCCATTGAGCTATATCCCAAACCCTATACATTATTGTGCAAAAGTGAATTAACAGCCATAGTTCCTTAAGGAAATTATCAAATATGTCTCAAAAATAGGTGACTTTTTGCTTTGTTCCTTTAAAGAAATCAAGTGTTTGGTGGCGAAGGTGCTGATGAAAGAGAAGTTAAAAACATTTTGCCCATATTTTAATGCCTAATTTTTTTTTTTTTAATCCTCAGTATTCTACCTTGTAAATACTGTTATTTGTATATACTGTAAATGATGACGTCGGTGGGCACTAACCGAGCCCGGGGAAACTGGGAACAACCTCAAAACCAAAACCAGACACAGCACAAGCAGCGACCACAGGTAAAATAACCCAAAGGCAATGGATTCATGGGTAACTCTACTGGTAGATAGGGGTTTGGGGTTTCTATTCTTGTTAGTCCTTGGATTTCTTTTGTTTTCTTTTTAAAGGGTGAGATAGCTCTCAGTGACATGCTGTGATACAACATGCTTTTGTTGTTGTTGTTTAATGCTACATTGTAAGACTTATGGCTCCAGTTTGAGTCCTGTGCTGCTTTGTGTCTCTGACAGGTGTTTTCCTTTTATCATCTGGACCATTTAATAGTACATTTCTTATTTCCCAGGTTTTCTTCTACCTTGACATCTCTTTAGTCAGCCTTTGTCTTGACA